AATGTTGGCATTTCATAATTTTGAATGAGTACAATGCAAAAAAAAAAGGAGCATTTTTGCCTCAAACACCTTTTCTGCAGCCACTTTGTCAGCCCAATGCAGAAATGAGCACAACCATGAACACTCAGACTTACCATAGCCTCCCCTGCTGCAGTTTTCTTGGTTTTCCTTTTCTTTTTTTTCTTCCGTGGCTTGTTACTCGACACAGGCTGCAAAGAGAGGGAAGAGCTGTCACAGTGTGCCCAGGGACAGCAGGGATGTCAGCTCCAGAGGCAGACAAGCCTTTCCCACAGGGATCCATATGCCAGGGAGGACCTTGAATGAAACCTGTGGTCATCCTTTCAAGTTTATCAGCAAGTGGAAATTGAGACACAAAGAGGAAACAGAGGAAAGCTCCAAAAGTTTATGCCTGTGAGGGTTAAACCTCAGCTGACTTTCATATCAACATCTGAGGCTACAAAATTAGGCAAGAAACAGTTTAGATCTGCCAGGTGTGGAAGAAATGGCCCAGCCCTCTTCACTCTCTAGAATAAACTGGATTCCTGTCTTCCTGGTGAGCAGGACAGTCTCTTCAGATCTCCACAGAAACCACCAGCTGCCCAAAAGCACCCCGTGGTGCTGCCTGCTGACACGGTCGTGCCAGCTCACGATGCTGCGTGGTGTTCCCTGTCCCAACAGGGCCAGCTCTTCCCCAGGGCATAAAAAGCCCATTTCCAGGATCCATGCGGGAAATCCAGTGAGTAACAGCATAGGCAGAACAGCCCCACAGCTCGTGAGTGGATTTCAGTACCAGGGGAAGGCCCAGCCCCCATGTGGTGAGATGCCTGCTGAGGGCACCCACAATTCCAGCTGGGAAGCTGCAGGTGCATCCCGAGGTGCTTAAGCAGCAAATTCACGGGGTCAGGGCCTGCCCAAGCCACCACTCACACCAGGACCCACCAAGCAGGGCCCACACTGCACACCCAGAGCATCCCCAAGGCCACCAGTGCAGCCAGACCATGAGCAGTTGGTGCCCCATGCTCCTCTGGCACCCAAACCCACAGGCACACCCCTCAAACACTGAGCCCCAACAGGTGAGGGCAGGGAGCTGATCCCCTCTTCTCTGCAGTAGTAAAATCCTCCCCCAGATCCCAAGCACAAACTCAACCCTCAGCACCAAACTCCTTGATCTCCTCCAGATCTGGAGCCCCCAGCCCCTGGGTTTCAGCTACCTGGTCACATCCTTGGCCTCTAGACCAAACCCAGGCACAAGGAAGAAAAAACCACACTTGTCTGGAACCAAAAAGCTCCTCAGTGTGCACAGATACAGAGAGATAAGTGCACCTCACACGGTGACCACCCTCAGCACCAGAACCCCCTTTTGGTTACCATCTGGTCCGACTCTGCCTCCTCCCCATCCCTCTGCCCGTCGCCTTCCGCCTCTTCCGTCACAGCCCCAGCCTTGTCCCCTCCTGCTGTGTCCTGCTCGCTGATCCTGGCAGCCCCTCGCTCCGCTCTGGGTGGTGGATCATCCTCAGGCTCCTCAGCAGTGATCTGCCCAAACAGAGGGACAGGCTGCAGAGAGAGCTGGCACCGGGCTGTGCTCTGCCCTCTCCTGCCCCCAAGGGGACAGAATTCCCCAGGGATCTGATCTCTCCCACTCCCACCTGCAAAAGGAAGGCAATAAGGCCACAGCAGCAGCACAGGGCTCAGCTGGCCCAGGGGGATGACCCCTCATTTCAAGAGTGTCACCCAACGGGCCCCTCAGCAGCCCTGTACCCACCAAATCGCCACAGGGGAGCACAGGACAACACATCCCAATCCAGCCCACCCAGGACCCTCTCCGGTTCCCTCCCAGTTCAGCCCCAGTTGCTGCCCCCTTGAGCCTCCCCCTCACCCTCCCGCT